CTCTCCTCCTCCTCCTCCTCCCCCTCCCTTCGTCTTCTTCTCTCCTCCTCCTCCTTCCTCCTCCTCCTCCCTTCGTCTTCTTCTCTCCTCCTCCTCCTCCTTTCTCCTCCTCCTCCTCCTTTCTCCTCCTCCTCCTCCTCCTTTCTCCTCCTCCTCCTCCTCCTTTCTCCTCCTCCTCCCTTCGTCTTCTTCTCTCCCCTCCTCCTCCTCCTTTCTCCTCCTCCTCACAATTGGCAGGTCCTCCTCCTCTTCCTCCTCCTTTCTTCTTGTCTCCTCCTCCTCCTCCTCTCTCTCCTCCTCCCCCTCCCTTCGCCTTCCTCTCTCCTCCTCCTCCTCCCCCTCCCTTCATCTTCTTCTCGCCTCCTACTCCTCCTTTCTCCTCCTCCTCCCTAAGTCTTCTTCTTCTTCTTCTTCTTCTTCTTCTTCTTCTTCTTCTTCTTCGTCTACTACTACTACTACTACTACTCATCCTAAGTCTTCTTCTTCTTCTCCTTGTAATTCTTCTTCTTCTTCTCCTCTTCTTCTTCTTCTTCCGATATTTGAACTTTCTTTTTTCCCTCGCTGGTGGTCCTTGCATCCTCTACTTCCACGGCACAATGGCGGGCGGGGCCAGCGACATTGGAGGGGGGAGTGGCGGGTCTGGACAGAGGAGGGGCAAAACGGCAGAAGAAACAGGAAAAGGCTGCTACAACACACCCTTTTACCCCCTTGTCAAATCTCCCCTCCACCTCCCCTCCACCTCCCCGTCCGTCTGGCCTGGTCCGTCTGGGCCGGGCGTCGGCCTAACCCAGCTCCTTCCTTTGTCAATTTCTCATTGGTTTATAACATTCTAATCTTCTCTTCTCTGTATCGTTCCAATTTTAGCGGATGCCCCGCAGGACATGGGTCACTTAAAAGTTAAACCTCTCTTTTCTTCTTTTGTTCTCTACCAAACATCTCGACTATCCAAAGATAGATTCTCTGAACTTGCTCTGAATTTGAATTTGGAATTCTGAATCTGGACCACGTTTCCTTATCAAATTCAGTCTCTCCACAAAGAGTTTGCAACAGCAGCCAGCATGCTGCATACATGTGCACACTGAGTGCGAGTTGATCCCAGCAAATGCACTCTCTACGCAGCAGGTCGATGTCAAGTTCGTCAACACGATTCTTTTTGTGTTCCCCCTTTCCTTTTAAGGCTTTTATCCTCTTTTTAATGCACAGGGGGCATGCTAAGAATCTTCGCTGTATCATTCCAACTTTAACGGATGTCCCGACTGCGAGGGTCAGGCCCCTCGGCAGCAAAAACAAGGACCCCAAAGACAGCTCCAGGCCGCCCTAAGTGAAGGCGGGCCTGTCAATTTCCATTATCGGCCTGGCGAGGCCACCCTGAGAATTTTGGGGGCGCCAGACAGTTACCAGACGCCAGTTGGTTGAGCACGTAATGTGGGTCCTTTTGAACATGACGTCGAAAGCCACACAGTTGACTCAACCTAACTGCCGGTACCAGGCCCTGGAAGCAGCTTGAAACTCGGCCTGCATGCTGGATACTCCAGGGCCGCACGCGTTGACCCCAACCGGGACCGGTCTAGGCCGCAATCAGCAGCATATAGGCAAGGCAGGGCTAACTGGAGGACATTCGGGCTGCTGGCAGTCAATGCGGTTGCACTGCTGAGTCGCACACTGGCTGGCCAGCGCTCTTGTGCGTGTGTGGTAGCGCTGGGCGAGCAGCTGTGGTAGTAGCTGCTGGGTGAGAGGAGAGGCAGGCGCCATAGCCAGGCGCTCTGCCCAACACTGATGGTGGTGATCATGGTGGACCTTCGGCGGTAGTGAGCTGTGGGAAGTCGAGGGATGAAGAAGAGAGTGAGAGGGAAAGAGTGAGGTCATTGTGAGTCATGTGGAGGTTAGCATTTGGGCGACATGCTTCATGTGCTCCGACTTCAGTGCTGATTTGGCTAAGAGTAGATGGGCTAGGAGTACGCTGGGTGCTTTGCGCCAGATGGGAGTACAACTCTGACGTGTTGCTGATGACGGCAAAGGGCTAAATTGTCGATACGTTATCGCTGTACTGTACATTGGTGATTTCAAGTGCATTTCTGCTTGCTGGCTCTTTATGAGACTCTTGTGATTGCAATTTGGATTTCTGTTTCTCGCTTTCAATCATTGTCCTTGCACGACGAACTAATTCATTCATTTACACTGGCCACAAAAATCACAGACGCGTGATTCTTAACACAGATGCAGACATGTGCAAATGAAGCTCTGGTGCGTGCGTCCAGCATTGACTGAGCTTGTCCGCATGTACAATCAAACCTTTCTTTCCATTTTGTTATGTTGCTTTGATGCGAATGGACTTGCGAATGCACGTGTGCATCATTGTTGTGATTGTATACACGTCGCTCATCTACACAAAGCTTGGACCAGAGAAATACACACTTTGAATCTTTGACTGAACTTATCTACTCTCATTGAGCTTATTGCCATGAACAGTCAAACTTACCATCTCTTCGCATCTTCACGTTTTCGCCTTCCTCTTCTTCATCCTCCTCCTCTTCCTCCTCTTCCCCTTCTTCCCCTCCATAGCTTGTCTCCCAAGCCTTCTGGAAGATACTCCCAAAACTTAGCGTCGAAACCTGAACAAGCACAGGGCACAAGCACCCATTTACTGTCAACTCTCTCTCTCTCTCTCTCTCTCTCTCTCTCTCTCTCTCTCTCTCTCTCTCTCTCTCTCTTTCACACACACACGCACACACACACACGCACACACACACACACACACACACACGCACACACACACACGTACATGCAGGCAAATACATGCATGTGTGAAAATAAACTTTGGCCAACCTTATGGACAGCGGACGCTCATCTATCAATTGCAATTTTATGTGTAATGCAAAATACGTTATCTTCCATTGTTGGGCAATATGTAAAAAACAATTTAATCATTTCAAATTTATGAATTGCGGTCTTATGTCACAGACGGGACGGGAGTGAATTTATTATCCAATGCTGGGCAATATGTTATTAAAAAAAAAAAAAATGCATTGATGTCCAACAGTACAGTTTAGGATCGAACCCAACTCGGGATCGTACTGATCAGAAAGTTGAAACGCAATGTCATTATAGTTAGCAAATTAAGATTTTTTTTTAAAAAGCCAATGAGGTTCTGACTTATGATGTGACGAAATGATTTTGGTACGAGAGGGTTTTCACACAAGGGTGAGTGACCCAAAAAGAAATGTTATGCAGAAAAATAATATGAACAACTTTTGCCTCAGGGTTAAATCGAAATTCCTTACCAAATTGAAAATAAAAATACTAAAAAACATTTTTTTAATTTTTTTTATTTGGCCCTTTCCCTTTTTTTTGGGGGGGCGGCCGGGGCAAGTGGGCCCGGCCTACTCCGGTGACCTAGTTAAAAAGTACATTAACGGCCCGGTCAGTTTCGGAGAACACCAAAACTAAGCTAGCCCCATCGGAATGCACCTGGATATCAAGGGGGTGCGCTGCCCAAGTGCATGATCCGCACCTAGACATCCAAGATGCCCAGGAACATTCAGACCATGACCAGATTAGCTCCATCCTTTTGAATCTGAATGGGCTATTCAATATCTATGTCCCTTGGTCCCTCACCCCGTAATTCATAATCTAATATTTATGTAGACTTTATTTACTTATACATATAATTTATATAAATGCTATTTATATCATTGATGATGGTTCAGGTGCAGGTCCTACAAATACCTTTATGATTAGGCCCATTGCAAATACACTAGATGACCTGTTGCAGCTTCGCTCGCAAAAACAAATATGATGGGTGATGCATTCATGGTGTAGGCAACTGACCAATGCAATCTCTCTCTCTCTCTCTCTCTCTCTCTCTCTCTCTCTCTCTCT